TCTGATATTGTTATTTTGGAAAATTTTACTTAAAGCAAATTTAATTTTTAAAAAAGCCCGCGATTCTACACATAACAACTTTTTTTTTCAGTCGAGAAGAACAAGTTTAGCACATTCGACAGTTCAGAGACCATCTTTTACTGAGCTTGACAGCATTCCGGAATCGTCGGCTGAGACTCATGGCAGTAAGTATTTCATAATTGAGATCGAATTTGTGGCAACCAATTTTATTGGACTGCAGCCAACAGATGTGTGTTTCTATGCCTACTCCTGCAAAGGGAAATATCCCTTGTACTGTTTCTGAAAATGATAAGTTATAAATTTACTGACTTTAGTGGCGACAGTTGCTGGCGTCAAATATTTTCGCCTATTTAAGACCGCTAATATTGCCCAGATCATCAGTTTGGAGGTCTCGATGTTAGTGGATTGCAGCCTCATGCTGAGTATGGTCTTGTCAGGCCCTGCCATTAGGATACTCACATCCTTTCGCTATTGAATGCATTTTCGAATTTAAGGAAGAAGCAGTGAAACAAGCAGGGCATCGAACAGAGATTCTGTAGATGATCACACCGGTCTTTGCTCAGGCGAACGGTCAGTGGAGGAAGAACTCAGACCGAAATCCTCGCTCACTGAGAAGATCCTGGAACAGCTCGCTCGAGGTCAGCTTTCACTTTGCGCTCCTAAACATTTTAAATCGTCAAAAATGTCTGTTCAAGAATTAGTCTTCACTGGGCAGTTTTGTTGTGGGGAACGCAGTAATATCTACGAAATGCTAGAAGAGAAAGCTGAAGGGGCAATGAGGGAGAGGAGAGCGAGCGCATTTGTTTTCAACAAATGTCAAAGTGTTCTGTCGTGATAATTTATTGCGTTCAAAAAAATTTTGAAAACATCAGATGTTTTTTGTCTTTACAGAGAGCGAAGCTGCAGAAGCAACTAATGGAAAAATTCGTCTAGATAATTTGCCGCCTAGGAGAATCTCAAGGGCCAGGAAATCTTCAATCCTGGATGATAACGAACTGGCAGTGGAGCGAAAAAGATCACAAATCTACAAAGAAATTGGAAGGGTTAGTAAACTGAATGCGTCAGAGCGAGCTTCAAACTCCTCCTCGTTTTCGGACTCATTGATGTAGCTGGCCTGGTCAATCGAGATGACCCTTTATTTTCGTGCTCGGGTGCGGGAGTACTGACCCATTTCTTTTTCGATTGCCCGGATGATTCACTGCGTTAATGCGAAACGACTCCTGTTAAACTGCTGTTCACGAAGAAACTTTCATTTCAGCCTTCAAGGTCGATTTCTCTCAAATGCTTGCTACCGCCACCAAAATCCCCATTGGTTTAAGGCTTAATCAAACATACTTTCAAACGACAGCTTCGTACTGTGGTCATTTCTCGCGCACATTTAGATCTCGTTCTTTCCGACCACGTTTGGTGAGGTTATGGCGGGCATTCGCCGTCCGTACACGAAAAATAACACGAAACAGTCGCTGTTCGATGTCGTTATCCAGCTTATTGGTGTGCATATACCGTTATGGCTAAGTGTTGTTGCCGTACACATTACGCTCGTTGAAGTTTTCAATATGAAACTGTGTGAGTGTTATTGCATCCCATCAGTATCACCCGAACTTCCAGTGTGGAAGCTCTCAGTGTGTTTTTGAAATGCCAGATCGTCCTTTCCTGGAACGCCAGCCGCTTATGTGCAGTCTTCGCGAGGTATATGCAAAATTTCTTGTTAGTTCGTTTGAGCGACGCCTCTCCCACGCCACTGCATTATCTGCCTTTGTCACAGTTGTGCTCTGCATCCGAGTCACATGATGAGGTATTTCGTTTCCCATGAGGTGCGAATAGGTAAAATCAAGCGTCCTCGTCTGCACCGCTTTTGCCCTTCACTTCCGAATCTCATCCCGCATCCGTATCTTACTCCTCCTCTCACATTTTCGAAAATATGCTGGCATTTTCAGGTATCAAGTTAATTATTTGTTTTTCTCTTGTTTTTCGTTCAAATTTCTGTCAAGCGAGGAGTGTAGTTTGTTTCACGTGTATCGTATATGAATCAACAAAGGCTAAATTTCTAGACTCAGTCTGTGGATTTTTTACAAAAAAGAGTGATTAGTTTTCAGTAGAATTTCCGATTTTTATTTTTTTGTCCTCAAAATCTGGAGCGGCGTTCGTTCTTAGTGAGATAAATGCACCGATTGCCATCCGATCTCAATGCTCATTCTTTTGTACGGTTTTCTTTCTTTTAGATTATTTATTTTACTATTATCATCCTGGAATGAAGCTGATGGCGATGGTTATTTCGATTTT